CCTCTCTCTATCTCTCTACCTCATGACATTTGAAGAACTTGTAGCTCTGAAATGCAGCTTCTGCTCAAATTCAGTCATTCCTTCAACAGACTTTTGTTGCAGGCTGAGTAGTGGGCCAGATCAGGAGCTATACAGTCCTGGTCTTCTAGAAGACCATGGTCTGGGCAGAACGGACAGCGGAGCATTTCAACACCACGGTGGAGGAGAGCCTGATGCCTGATCCAGGCATGGAGGGGTTAACACAACTTCCTGGAGAAGGTGATGCTTAAGATGAGGCCTGAAGGGAGCTGGGGTGGGGAGGGGGGGGCGGGTGTGGATATGACTGGAAGAGCATCCCAAGTAGATGGAACAGTCCATGCTAACATACAGAAGACAAGAGAGTTTCACACATTTAGGGGATTACAAGCTGTTCAATAAGTTTTAAGGCATCAGGGGGTGGAATGAAGGAGGTGAGAGGAGACCCACTTCCAGGGAGGGTTGAGAGGGTTGCTATGTGACCCAAGCCAGAGAGATAAGCAGGCCCCAGATCACGGAGAGCCTTGTCTGCCTGTGAAAGCATATGTGTTTTCTCTGGAGAGAGAAATGAAGAGGATTCAAAGAGATTTGCGCAGTGGGGTGACCATATACAGGTTTTAGAAAGGTCACTTTGACAGTAGGGGGTTGGGGGACAGGTAGGGGAGGTTGGGGAGCAGTGAGGTGACCACCAAGGAGCTGGAGTAGTGAGCTCCTGCCTTCAGTCAGGGGTGGGGGTGGGGGGACAAGAGTGGTGAGATTCTGCTTAAGTCAATCATTAACAAACAAGACACCCAGTGATTCATTTACACCTTCCCCATTCCTAGCTTCGTTTCCCCATCAGGCCCCTACCAGCCTCATCTCTGATTCTGGTCCGGTTCCCTTTCCTGCTTCCTTAGCCACTCCCTTCACTGGCAAGCTCAAAGGTGCAGGTCCCATGCAGCAGGCTTCCCAGATCCTTCTGGTTTTCTACATGGAAAGCTCCTGAGCTGTTTCTCTCTAAAGTCCCTTAGAAGTGCTTTGGCCAGTGGGAGAGAAGGGTCTTCAACACCTTTCAAAGAGCAGCGCAGAAACAGTGCCACGGTCAAGTTACTAGTAACGGGAGCCCCACCTGCTATGGTAGCTGCTGGTGATGGGAAAACTCGAATGAGAAACATCAGGGCCAGCCTGAGGTCTCACATTTTGTCGGAATCCAAGAGCCGAGCTGCATGCATGCCAAATCTTCACTCCGCTGGGTAATGCCTGATGAGCTCCATCATGTCAGCCAGAATACACCCTGGAGATTATATATGGGAAACACGTCGCTCCCCAAGTACAGAACATCTCCTTTCCCTGGCTTGTGTTGGAGAACAGGACAAACACCTGTGTGATAAGGTCATTGAGCTCTGTTAGGCTTGTTCTGTGTGAATAATTCATATTTTGGGAAACCTGGCTCTTTCAAATTCATAGACTAATAAGCTACATTATATTGGGATTTTGTCGTATGTTCCTTATTCAAAATTGAAATATCTAAAAATATTTATTAAGGTTCAATACTGGGAGATACAAAGATAAATTAGATACCATACATGGCTAACTTTTGCAAGCACCTGTCTTTATACAATGACCACAATCCTAGCACCAGAAGGGTTTTGGGATCTATAAGGAAATTTTTTTCCAGGTAAAATTTGTCCCCAACGATGTGGGAAATAACCACCTTCTGTCATCAACCCATCCCTAAATTCATGCTTTCACATTTGTGCATCTAGCTGCTGCTCCTGATTCCAGACAAAAAATCCCTGCCATTCAGAGGCCGAGCTGTTTGTGCATAATTTATGAAACTCTTGGGTTCCTTCAAAATGAAAAGAGTTACTGAAATAGAAGTTCTCTTATCACCGCGCCAGCAGCAGACCCATAACATCATCTCACAAACGCGCTCTGTCCTAAAGCCCAGAGCACACACGGTCTTGTTCCTCCATCAGAAAGATCTTTCCATTCCCTTCCAAAACAATCCATCTTCGAGCGCAATCCTCCCCTCCCAGTTATATGCAGGCCTCCCCACCCAGTGAATTGGCAGGAGCGCGCGTGCACGCACACACACACACGCACACACACACGCGCGCGTGCTCCCTGCCAGCACACACCTCCCTCCTCATTCCCCAAGAGCCCCGGGGGTGTGTGTGTGAATGTCTGAGCTGATGACATATTGTGACAGAAGGAGCGAGAGGGAGGCACAACCACAAAGCGATGCAGGTCACAGCAATAGGCTTTATATAACCCAGAGCCATGGAGAGACCCGAAATAGCAGCCTCCTGCTGCTCGGTTAGTCTCCTCCATCAACCAGGGATAAAATTAGAGCAGGCACTGACGTGCACCTGCGTCTGCACTGGGACTCCAGGGAGACGGGGAGAACAGGCTCGACTCCCTGCCATCGGCCACGCAGACTGCCAGATCCTTCAGGCCCCATCTGTCACCATCCAGAGAGGGGCGTGTGTGTGTGTGTGTGTGTGTGTGTACCCGGGCTGTACGTGCACCCCATGTGGAGCCCTACTCTGAGAACATTTCAAGGGAATGGCAAGGAGCTGGTGCAAGGAGCTTGGTCCGATGGGGCTTTGAGAAGGATGTTCCAGGCCTTTTGCAAGGAAGTCAGTGTCCACACCCTCTTTTACTTCACAGTTCCTCTTCACTTCCTTCCACACCACCACTGTCTGGCCTGTATGGGGTCAAGGTCGGCTGAGGTCAAGGATATCCCCCCCCGCCCCGCTTTTGAACCCCATTCTGCAAAACAAACAATAAAACCAAAATCTTACCGTGTTTATTTCAGTTCCACCAAACACACACAATCTGGAGGTAAAAAGGTGGGGCCAAGAAGTCAAGAGAAGGGACAAGCCTGGGTGATTTAGCTGATTGTTCTGTAGGCCGCCTCAGGGCCTTGACCTTACGTGGAAGCCACGATCACTGCTCACAGGTGTGATGGGCAGAACTGCTGTCCAGCCGAGGCAGCTGGGTGATTTGTTTTCTTTTTCTGCTTGAGGGAGGGCAGGGAGGTTGATTCCCCTTGCCTCCCCCACCCCGAAATATATGTATATATAGTTACAGGTTTGTTATCTTGATCCCTGAGGACCATATATAAATTCCAAGGGAGAAAATGCAGCTGTCCCCAGGAACCAGAGACCAGAAAAATGACATGAAGAATAAGACAGAATGAAACTGGGTTGCGATTTTTTGAAGGAAGTCATCATCCTGTACTGGTACCTCTGAAATTCTGCTAGTACACGTTCACTCCTGGGGGGTGAGGGTGTTTCTGACCTTTGATCTCTCTTTTAAGTAAATACTTCAGAGAGAGGTAACATGTTCAACTATTTCACACTGAGGTATCAGTGATTTGTCAGATTCTTTTCCTCTCAAGGTAAACTGAATATATCCTGGAGCTCCCATGTGGCCCAGGATCTGCACCGTATCATCTCCCAAAACAAAACCACACATACACAGGAGAAATAATCTAAACTAATTAAAAACGAGTTTAAAAATTCATTCCCATTTTTATTTAAATATCGAGAAGAGAAAAAAGGGATCTGCTCGGTAAACATAGCCACACTTCTGAACCTCCCCTTTCTTCTCCTCTCTGAACTTTATAGCTGCTCTGAACCCCCTAAAACTTCCAGACACCCAGCCCTCATGGATGTTTCTCTCCCCCTCCCAACTTCTTCTCACTTAGCTCTTCATTTCTGTGTGGATTGCCTAGCATCTCGGGCTTCCTCTAGTCTTTCCAATATGTCCACTGTTTGGCTTCTCCACACACACACAAAGGAACATCCAGAAGCTGACTCAGTAAGCTAGAATCCGGTCCCCCTTAGAAGCCTGGGCACAAGGGTTCAGTGTGGATATTCATCCTGTTAGACCAACTTGACTTTGAGGCACAGATGGGTAAGGTCAGGGATCCCTGGGGAGAGACCTTCAGGGAAAGGACTTATTTTTTGACAGTTTTTGTCTCTAGCCTACCTTGTCAGGTTTCAGGAATTGAGGCCCAGAACTCGTTGAAAGAACAAGGTGTTCATGACTTAATATTATATCTACTTTTTCTCCACACCCCACCCCACACCACTATGTATGGCCCCACTAGACAATTCCTTTGCCACTGAACAGACTTCTTCATACCCTTGTACCTTTATTTATAGTCTTCTGTCCCCATAATGTTCTTCCCACCCTTCTCTCTTCCCTTCCCAACAGCCTCCCTTCCTTGGAACACTGAAGTGCTAGAGCCTGTAGCCCTTAAATCCATTCTTCGGTACTTGACATAAAGGTTGCCCACCCTGGCACTTTCCTCTCCCTGCTCCCTCCCCTACTGTTGGTAGGCAGAATTCTAAGGTAGCCGCCAAGATTCCTGCCCTCTCGCATACATGCCTTGCATACCCCTGAGTGTGGGGTAGGTAGGACCTGTGGATATGATGTGATATTACCCCCTTGATTTTGGCAAAAGGGATTTTGCCGATGTAATTAATGGCCCTAATCAGTTGACGTTGAGTTAATCAAAAGGGAGATTATCCTCAGTGGGTCTGGCCGAATCAGGGGAGCCCTTCAAAAGAGGGGTTAGGGGCGCCTGGGTGGCTCAGTTGGTTAAGCGACTGCCTTCGGCTCAGGTCATGATCCTGGAGTCTCAGGATCGAGTCCCGCATCGGGCTCCCTGCTCGCCAGGGAGTCTGCTTCTCCCTCTGCCCCTCCCCCCTCTCATGTGCTCTCTCTCATTCTCTCTCTCTGAAATGGATAAATAAAATCTTTAAAAAAAAAAAAAAAAAAGAGGGGTTGGGACCCTCCCTGAAATCAGAGAATCTCCAACTGGCCTTGAAGAAGTAAGATGCCATGTTGTGAGAGGGCCAATGGAAGGGGCCATGTGACAAGGACTTGAGGGTGGCCTCTGGTTGCTGAGGATGATCCCCACTGACAGCTAGAAGGAAAAGAGGGACTTTTTTTTTTTTTAAAAGATTTTATTTATTTATTTGACAGAGAGAGAGACAGTGAGAGAGGGAACACAAGCAGGGGGAGTGAGAGAGGGAGAAGCAGGCTTCCTGCGGAGCAGGGAGCCCGATGCGGGGCTCGATCCCAGGACCCTGGGATCATGACCTGAGCCAAAGGCAGACGCTTAACAACCGAGCCACCCAGGCACCCAAGAGGGACTTTAATCGCCTTTCCAACCAGGGCCTGGCAGAATGGCTCCTGAGAAGAAGGGTGGCGAGAAGAAGGGCCGTTCTGCCATCGACGAGGTAGTGACCAGAGAATACACCATCAACATTCACAAGCACATCCATGGAGTGGGTGTCAAGAAGCGTGCCCCTCGGGCACTCAGAGAGATCTGGAAATTTGCCACGAAGGAGATGGGAACTCCAGGTGTGCGCATTGACACCAGGCTCAAGAAAGCTGTCTGGGCCAAAGGAATAAGGAATGTTCCATACCATATCCGTGTGCGGTTGTCCAGAAAACATAACGAGGATGAAGATTCACCAAACAAGCTCTACACACTGGTTACCTATGTACCTGTCACGGCTTTCAAAAATCTATAGACAGTTAATGTGGATGAGAACTAATCGCTGATTGTCAAATAAAGGTATAAAACTGCAAAAAAAAAAAAAAGAGGGACTTTAATCATACAGGCACAAGGAACTAAATTCTGCCAATAACCACATGAACTTGGAAGAGTACCAAGCTCCAGAAAGGCATGCAGCCAAAAGACACCTTGATTACAACCTGATGAGACCCCGAGCAGAGGATCTAGCTAAGCAGTGCCTGGACTCCTGACACACAGAAACTATGAGGTAATAAATGTTTGTTGTTTAAGCCACTAAGTTTGCGGTAATTTGCTAGGTGACAAATTAGGAGAAAACGAGTACCAGCCCCCTCCTGAGAATGAATGAATCATCCTCTGGACTCCACTCTTGCCACTGTTATAACCCCAGCTCCTACCGTGCCTGGGTGGCTCAGTCGGTTAAGCGGCTGCCTTCGGCTCAGGTCATGATCCCAGGGTCCTGGGATCAAGCCCCGCTTCGGGCTCCCTGCTCTGCGGGGATCCTGCTTCTCCCTCTCCCTCTGCTGCTCCCCCTGCTTGTGCTCTTGCTCTCTCTATCAAATAAATAAATAAAATCTTTAAAAAAAAATCCCTCCCCCTCACACTATAGCATGATCTTGCCCGCACTTCTGTCAACCCCATTATCACTGCAAGCCCGGTCTCAGTCCTCTCTGGGCCTGGCACCCACCAGGATCTGGAAGCCAGTAAGTAATAGTGGTAGTGAAGCTATACATGTTTGTTGAGTTCCCATCGTGCAAAACCAATCGCTTTCATCTCCATTCACTGACTATTTTAAGCAGGAGCAATCTTTTTGACCTCATATGTGAGCAGGCCTGGCTCAATTCTCCATGACAGTTTGTATTAATGTAATGCATCTCATAATGGCCCCTGAAACAATCTATTGTTTCAGAGCTCCCCTCTAGCTTTAGGCTATCATGTTTCCCTGGATGTGCTGGGAACATCAGATCCTCTGTAACAGCATCTTTGAAATTGCATGTAATGATGCTAATCCTTAGCAGGCTGTGGGCCCCTGGCAAGATTGTACTTAAATTCTCAGGTCTCAACTCTTAGCCAAATCTCGTCTCGCCCAGGGGCCTCTAGGACCTCCCCCAAAGCACACCAAAGCATCTCTGCTTAGCTGTTAGCCAACAGCCTCTGTATCTCCTGTGGATGGTATGGGTTTCATTGTTGCAAAGACGCTTACACCGGCCCCTCCATGGGTCCTGACGTTGGTTTAGAAATTACTGTCACTGAAGCCCACATATGACCATAGAAACAGGGGACAGGTCTATGAGGTTGATTTGCCTAATTCCTAGCCTGCCTTATGTACACACGTAAACACATACCCAGACATGCATCACATACGCGCCTTCTTTATTGGCTCCACCAATAATATAAAATACCTGTAACAGGGGACAGAGCTTTATAGTTCTCTTTGTGTAAAAAGATTTATGGAGTAAAAAGCTCCTGACTGGGACTCTGGGTACACCCAAGGCACACATTTCCATTACCACCATTTTGCAACCCTGGCCAGAATTTCCTTTGGCCTTAGGAAGAAGAAGGAGGGATTTCTCACGGATCAGGGAATCCAAGCCAAGGACCCTGGGGGCAGGGACAGAAGGGGAAATGAGTGGGGCCGACAGGCAAACTCTGTGCCTTTGTTTTAGACATTCCTGATGCTTACTGGATATAGACACCTTTCTCTGAGTGGTTCCCTTGCATGCAAAATGGGCACAATAATCACTTACCTCATGGGATTGTTTGAAGGGTGACAGGAAAAAGCGCATGTCAGGCACACAGCCTATAAAGCCTGGCGTACAGAAAGCCACCCAATGCCCTTCAGCTAGTATGATCATTTGGCTCGTAATCAGGCTCAAAGGGGGTCTTCTAGGGTCTCAGACATCGGATGGTAATTGGCCTGCCCCCAGAGTTGTCGGTTGCTCGTTTGGGTCTTAGGGTCTGTCTGGAAGGTGAGCAGGTCTGATGGACACCTCATTATAGCCTGTTCCCCAGTCACCTCACCCCCACGGCGGGAGTGGCGAAGAAGGCATTAGGCAAGAACCCCAGTGAGTGAGACAATAGGTGGGAATGATGAAACAGGAAGTGTGGTTTGTAAGCAAGTACCAGCAGAAAACCACTCATGGAGAATACCTACCTCGGGCCGCTGATTGGGTCTGAGCCATCACTCGACTCAAGCTTCTACGGGAAGGTCTGTGCCAGTGCCCAAAAGTTAAAGAACGCGGCCCTTAGGTCACCAGGGAAATAGACTTAGTTGGAGACCAAGGACTCATTTGAGACAGCACAGGCTTTGGCCTTCTGGGTTCAAATCTTGGGTCACCCCATTATTATGTGACCTTGGGCCCATTATTCAACCTCTCCGAGCCTCAGCTTCCTTATCTTTGAAAGAGGCAGGGCTTTGGGAAGGTTCATTACGATAACATGCAAAGAGCCTAGCACAGGGCCTGGCCCACTCCATAAACATGTGCTCCCTCCCACTTCCCCTCCCAGGTGTCTGGGACACCTCCACCCCTTCCGTGTCGCCTGGCTGAAGACAGTTGACCACTACCTGCTCCCCGGAATGGAGCCGGTTCTGGATTATTTGATATTGCCACACATCTGGCCTTATCACCGGTTATTGACTGCAATGCCCGGCTGCTCTCTGCTCCACCTGGCTCCTTCCTGCCAGGTGGCTTCTCCTGATGCACTTGGACAGTGATGAAGGGTTGGGCCAGATCGCAGGGTGGCACGAGGATTGATGTGAAAAGGTTTCTACTTAATATTCTGAACTTATGGGAGGGAATAACTTTAAAGATTTTTATTTATTTCTGAGAGAGAGAACGAGCTGGGGGGAAGCGCAGAGGGAGAGAGCCAAGCAGACTCCCCGCTGAGCAGGGAGCCCGATGCGGGGCTCGATCCCAGGACCCTGAGATCATGACCTGAGCCGAAGGCAGACGCTTAACCGACGGAGCCACTCAGGCGCCCTGGGAAGGAATTACTTTAAAAATGTATATGTAGGGGCGCCTGGGTGGCTCCGTTGGTTAGGCGACTGCCTTCGGCTCAGGTCATGATCCTGGAGTCCCTGGATCGAGTCCCGCATCTGGCTCCCTGCTCGGCAGGGAGTCTGCTTCTCCCTCTCCCACTCCCCGTTTGTGTTCCCTCTCTCGCTGTGTCTTTCTCTGTCAAATAAATAAATAAAATCTTTAAAAAAAAAAATGTATATGTATACCCGTGCCTGTAATAGGCATCCCCTGCACAAGCCCAAGGTGCCCAGGCCCCATCCTCCTTATAAAAGCCCTGCCTGGTCCTCCCTCCACCATTTCTGTGGTTCCCAGGCTTCTCTTCAGGATTCTCTGCGGTTCCTCTTCCTTGGCACATCTAAGTATTGCAATTCCAAGGGTTCCACCCTCAGCCCTCTTCTCATCCTCCTCCACATGCTCCCTGGGTGATCTCACCCATCACCACAACAATTCCCGCTTGATTTCCTAATCCATCTGTCCCATTCACACTCCCTTTCTGACCACAGATCTGTATATACAGCTGCCCTTGGAACATTTCCACCTGTGGTTCCACAGCCCCTCAGGCTCAATCCCCTCAACACCCACCTAATTCTTCTATATTTTGTGCCCCAGTAAAGGGCACTCCATGAAAATCCAGAAGCCTAAGCAAACCTCCCATTATGGTCCCCAACGTCTGTCAATTCTATTACCCTAGTCTCTCTTGAGTGGGTCCTCTCCTTTCTATCTTCATTCCGCAGCCCACACCCAGGCTGTTGTCCTTGGGGCTCACCCCTACCCCCCCGCCCCAGTACTGAGACCACTGCCTGAACAGGCTCTTTGCCTCCCAGCTTCATTCTCTTTAATTGTTCTAGCCTGTACGGGGCTGGTGTGGTCAGTAGAGCATGTGACTCTTAATCATGGGGTCTTGAGTTCGAGCCTCATGTTGGGTGTACAGATTACTTAAAAATAGATTAATAAAAATAAAAATATAATTGTTCCTAGAGAGATCTTTCTAAAATGCAGATCTCCTCCTCAAATCCCTCAAGCCCTCTAGGTCAGTCAGGGTCCAGCCAGGGAACTGAAATCACACCAGCAATTCTAACAGAGCTCGGTTAAGATTTCAGATTAGTCTTTCAGATCAATCGTTTACGAAGTCTAAAGTTATCAGCTAAGACACTGAAAAGACAGAAAGAGCTCAAGTACCAAGGAGGTGGCGACCATCGGTAGGGGGCACTGGCCCCCGCCAGGGCTGAGAGAACGAACAGAAGAGGTTGGGATAATTTATCCCATTACCTTTTTTTTTTTTAAAGATTTTATTTATCTATCTATTTATTATTAGAGAGAGCAAGCGCACAAGTAGGCAGAGCGGCAGGCAGAGGGAGAAGGAGAAGCAGGCTCCCCACTGAGCAGAGAGCCCAATGCAGAACTCCATCCCAGGACCCTGGGATCATGACCCAAGCCAAAGGCAGACGCTTAACTGACTGAGCCACCCAGGTCCCTATTCCATTACCTTAATGATGAGAAACAAACTAGTTTGATACGCAAAACCCTCCTTGTGGCGCCCACTTATCTGCCTGGCCTTCCCTCTGGACACAGCACTGCCGCCCCCATCCTCAGACCAAGCCTGTGGTCCTTCCGCTCTCAAACTTCCAAGCTTTTCAAGCACCTGGGTGGCTCAGTCGGTTAGGTGGCTGCCTTGGGCTCAGGTCATGATCCCAAGGTCCTGGGTTGAGTCCTACATCAGGCTCTCTGCTCAGCGGGGAGTCTGCTTCTCCCTCTCCCTCTGCCTGCTGCTCCCCCTGCTTGTGCTCTCTCTCTCTATGTCAAATAAATAAATAAAATCTTTAAAAAAAACACAAAACTTCCAAGCTTTTCTACCTGTGCTGGCACCACCTGAAATGAAATGCGGCTCTCCACTCTTTTCTGTAAGCCATCCCTCAAGAAAGGCTCAAGGAGGCTTCGTATCACTTTGAGCGCCTTTCCTGACTACTGCACCCGCTTCGGGCAGGTCCGGTGGCCCCTTTCTTAAGGGTTTCCATAACATCCTGGTCACGTTACTGTCACATCACACT